GGGGGGCCTACTATTATTATTATTATTATTATTATTATTATCATCATCATCTCTACTACTACCACTGTTATTCTATCGACTACGTCGTTGTTACAGGTTACACAGCCAGCACCATCAGTACGCGGGAGCAGCGGGCGGTGCCGACGCCTTCACCGTCACCGTCACCGCCGGCTCAACGTCATCCTACCGACCTCCGCCGACCCGGACATCCGGCGTGACCCGCGCACTCCCCGGTACGTCATCTCCGGTTTCAGCCGACTCTGATTCTTCATGCAGTAGCTCTCCGCAGCGGGCAGTCGCCTGATGATCGCGCATGCGCACTTGAGCGATTGCACAGTCGGTCGGCACAACCGTCGCTCTTCAGTCGCCGATACTGTGTCAGTACGTGCAGTAAAACCTCGGGTTGTTTAACACGAGCTGCTATGATCAATGATACAACTTGCGTTTATACGGTCACGCCGGAATGAAACACTATCGTGAGAAGCGAGTGACACAACGTGAAAACCAGTGAAATCCCGGTAAACAATTTTTGTAGCGTTTTTGTTGCGATTCTGTCAAAAAATTACACTGTCAATAATTAGGTAAGAAAATTCTTAGGCGGGATATAGGAGTCTATATAATATATATATATATATATATATATATATATATATATATATTCCTGGCATGTAATGCGGTCAAAGTTTAGCGGATCTAAAATGTATGGACGCAGGCGTATCAACCTACGTGACACAGCCGAGAAAACGAATACCGGAGAGTACCGGAATCGCCTGAGGTTTGCCGAATGATAGCTGCTCTCAGTGGCATTTTTACCGGATTCCGTGCTTCGGGAAAGAATATGCAGCTGGTAGTGGATATAGTATTGAAATTGCCAATCAATGTGTTAATCAATATATCGATTAATCAATCGAACAGTATTAAGTCTGCTAATCAATTCGATCTGATCTCTCTCGCCTACATAGCCGCGTGTATGTGCGGCTATAACCATCATTTCGTTTAATTTACCGGCTACTGAATTTGCGATGAATATCGCTATTAGGTGTCAGGCGTCATGTTACTAAAATGCTAACAATGTACTACATCCGGTGTAAAATAACCCATTATAAGAAAATCGGAATTAAAAAGGCGCAAAGTTTAAAATACTCACGTGCCAACAATCTATTGACCAAGTAACGGTAGTACTACATTTCTTTTCATTCAGCAGCATGCTAGTGATTTTCAACCGAAAGATTCCTAACAAGAATGTAATGGTAACAAGTAGGGAGTAGTGCGATCCTTTACGACTGCGTGTAAGCGTTGGCAATAATATATTTCTAACATATTTGTATACGTGTTATTTGATTGTGTACATAGTTTATGAAAAAATGTGGAAATGGTTGTTACATAGAACTGATGCCAAACCAACCAGGATATCTTCACGTTGACCTGGTTACGAATATAATTTCAGTTAACAAAAAATGTATTAGTCTGTGTTAATGAGTTAAATAGGGATTTTAATGACGATTTGAAATTTATTTATAAACAGAATCGTATTTATGACGTCATAATTTCGCTGGCATAAAGGCAGTTTATTCCCTATCATGATCTAAATATTGTAACGGTCGCGCGTACACCAATATTGTTCAACAAAATATATTGATCTATACGTCTAGAGCCAGTTCACATCATGTGTACGCGTGCGCGCGTGCGCGCGTGCGTGCGTGCGTGCGTAAGTGCGTGCACGCGTGTGGGTATGCATGCGCGCGTACGTGTCTAATTGTGAGTGTGCGTGCGTACGTGAGCGCGCGCACTCTTCCTATATATATATCATAGGTGTGTACGCTTACTCTGTTAATACCTAAATATAATAAGATATATATATATATATATATTATAATACCTGACTGTTAATACCTGATTGCCAGGCGTTACCACGGCGGCCGAGCACCAGCCAGCACGGCGCCCCGCACATAGTTACTAGATCGTCTATAAACTTGTGCAATTCGCGATTTTCGTTGAGCTACACGAATTTCCGTTGAGTCTTACACAGCAATACTGTTGACGCATATCGCCTTTGGTTGTAGCCAAATTACTATACATCTAAACCTCCTTTTTTCCCTAAACTACATCTCTTTTATCGTTTTAAGCGTTAACGGCGGATCAAAAGCTGTCTTTTTTAGGTTTTATAGTAAACTCTAAGTTACTTTGATCGGTTGCGTTTGATTGTATTAGTGTCTATAACGCTTACTTGTACAGGTAGATGTAACCATAATTATTTACGGCAAGCGATGCGATAGGTAAATTAATCAGCTAGGTAAAATAATATGATAGGCAAAATAATCAGATAGGTAATCAGATAATTAATCAGACGTCACAGGTAAATTACATCAGTTATTCGAATAATCAACCCAGAGTTAAACTGTTACGGACACGAAATCGGTCAAATGTTTTTTATTACACACGCCGTTAATACGTTAATTCACAATCGAATACTGCCAAAACAAACGCTGTATATATGGAATAAAGTTAAATATATTTCGCATATAAACATTTATTTTCCTTTTCTTTCCGTTCATTTTATCCTATAGTAGATATCTCGAATCATAAAAGCCACGAAATATTACTTGAATTAATTTGCGTAAAGAAATAATTCCACAGTCGTAGAGTATCATGCTTATTTAGTTAATACAACTCGTGCGTTTGCACCGTCATAGAATTATTCCGATATAACGACAAACCGCAACCTTCGCGGTGCAACTTTATCGCTAATGGCATTATCTCCTGTTCAATTGCAAACGACAAAATCATATTTTGCGTTACACACTATATTGAACCGACACCTGCTACCGGACGGACGCCACGTTATTAGTAGAATAGCTTTGTGTGCGTGTGTGCGTGCGAGCGTACGTGCGAGCGTGTGTGCGTGCGCACATTAGTATGTGTGCGTTTTGGACTTTTAGTGGGAGGTAAATGTGCACGGGTGCATGCGAGCGTGCGTGCGTGCATGCGTGTGTACGTGCGGGCGCACATTAGTATATGTGCGCTTTGGACTTTCAGTGTGAGGTAAATGAGAATGTCGTTAAAGCGCGCTAGCTCTATATAAGGTTGTGATTACTCCTGATATCATATGAGATGACAGTCAGGCGTGTTATATCATCTAATTGCGCTGTCGCTCGGCTGCACGCTCGCAATAATGAACTCCTTGCACAACGTAAACCTTCGCGTTCGTGCGCGCAGAAGTTCGCGTGTCGAATCTATATATTTCGCTGCGAGCAAAAGGTTCACTTTACGGGCAACGTGCAGTGAGAAGGTTACACGCTAAAATCTCGGGGTTGTAGTTGTTTGGTGCGGTCATAGACGCGTCTAACATGTAGAGAGTGAGTGACGGGTGTAGCATTGACAGCCCGAGCACACAGGTGTACGATGCTATCATACGTAGAAAATTGCAGCTGCTTCTTTTACTATTAGGCTGTGTCATTCCCTCGCTGATTTTGAGAATGTCGTTACAGCGCGCTAGCTCTATAAGGTTGTCATTACTCCTGAGATCACGGTGAGGCGTGTTATAAGATCTAATTGCGCTATCGTGCCGTCCCCACACAACACAGAATCGCGGGGTGTGCATAAATTCCTGAGAAGATGGCCGCCATGCACAGAAGCGAGTTAGTCTAGTCACGGTACCGAGCTGCGTTGGAATTGATATGCTTTACATTTCACACAACGTGTTGTTTTGAGTTGATTAATGTTAATGTTAATGAAAATGTATGGGGGATAGAAGGTTAGGGTTATAGTTATTAGTTAAAGTTTACAAGTTTATTATACATAGCGAATTGCAGCTGATTCCTTCTCTATTAGACTCTCATTCCATCGCTGATTTTGCACTGCTTAGGTCTTTTTTGAAAGGGGAGTTGGACTCATTTGATTTCAAATATCATAGCAGTAGTAGGTGATTTTATTAGGAGTGAATCAAAACAAATGTGATATATATATTATATATATATATATATATATATATATATATATATATATATATATATATAGATAGCATCGAGAAATCAGAAGGAGTGAGAGAAAGCGCAAGGTAAAGACGCCAAAAATATAATAATATAAACATGGCATGCGTGAGCGCACATGCACGTAACGTAAACCTATGCACGGCTCAATGGCTGTGTATTTAAATAATTAAACACACTTTAAATAAACGATATTCGCAATATGCGTAGCAAAATATAGAATCACTGCCAATAATTCTATAAATTATGTGTGCACGCGGTATCACACATATAATTTTACCTTATTTCTTCTTCCAATGTGATATACCGTAAATAACTATATACTGACTAATATTACATCGTTGGAATCGAGAATCTGTATTTGAATTGGCAGACACTGAAATGTCATATTTAACTATGAGTATAGAGGTTGAATTATCCGTATACACTAGCATATATATATATGTGTGTGTTTATGTGACGTAAAAATTACACCAACATAACGCAAGTATATAATGTTTCTACGGCAGCATTTCTTTCATACACGAATTACGTCATAAAACTCACTTCTTACACGGCAGGTATTACACGCTAAATCTTTCAGTATTAAGTACCGAATTTTCAGTTTCTTCATTTATTTCAGTTCTGTAGGTATACCGAACATATGCTTCCACACATTGTAACAACAAGTCTTACCGACTGCTAAGACCCAGATACAGTTCACACGGGGAAAATAAGCCACGTCATGTGAGTTTACACGATAGAAGAAATCCATTTTAAATAACATTAGAAAGAAATAAGAACATAAGAAAAAAAACACGTTGATTATTCTAAAACTTGGTATTTTAGAATTATCAGATATGGTTGGAAAGCTTGGTATTTTTTTTTATTCTAGAATATTTACCTTAACTTTGGTAACTCATTCATACACGACAGTAACATAGTTGTCCTCGCAAGGATAAACACTACATGTGCTAACTGCGAAGCAAATACAAGCTTTAATATTACTGCGCGTATATAGCAGATGTCTATTACAATACGGAGACAGACTTCCCGATACGACACGTATATTAGACACGAACCCCACCACAAATTGTTCCCGAGTGAATTATCGTGCAATGATCGTGGACTTAATTGGGGAAAGCGATAATCGCTATTGTAAATTAGGATATAACATTCTAATGAAGATAAGGAAATAATTTGATAATAACTTCACATGATAATAGGCTCAATATTATCCGACGTATATGTGTGGGTCGACCTACGCTAGTACTTGATTGGAATACATCTTAGTGGTACATTGTTAGACATATACACACATACGTGGTTATATATGGTTATGATCATAATATATATATATATATATATATATTATACATATATATATATATATATATATATATATATATAC